TATGTATGCATGCATACTTTTCGGCAACACTTTATGAATTTTATTTCATTTATTTAGATGCTCTTTTTTAGTTATTTTAAATAAATTTCTATTGTTTCGTTCGTTTTTTATAACAGTTTTAGCATTTGCTTTTGAATTTGTTGGTCTACGTGTATTTTGCATTTACTTAAAAAAATAAAAAAATAAAACGTGAATTATGTATGTATGTATGTATATCCCAAAGCATCTACATTTAACTGCTTTATGATATATTAGATTATTGGTGTTGTTGCTGTGTAATAATTAGTTCGTAAATATTTAGTCTCAAATGCAAAAATGCGTTTTGATTGTTTATAAACGTTTGCGTTTTTTATTTATCATTAAAATATTTTTCATTTACCATTTGCATTTACATACGTATGAGTTAGTTTGTGTGGTGTGTGTGTGAGTATGTTTGTGGAGTGTGGTGTTTATGCTATCGCTTGTAATACAATTAATTTATTTAATTTTAAATTTGGAAATAATATTACTTAATTATTTTTTATTCACAAAGAACAACGAAAAATATAGAATTCTACTTTTAGCATACAACAATTTAAAGGAGCGAGCGAAGCGTTGGAAGTGTGAGGATTTGCGGAGTGAAAAATGTTGAAGCGCCCGTTTCACCAAGTACTTTTTATGAATAGTTTGAGTGCCTCTGTGTCACAGGGATAATGCTGAGGGGTAGCGGACGATGACCTTTACTCTTATATTAATGTATATTAAAAAGTAAGGATATACGGTAATTTCTAACTATAAAATAAAGCAGTTTTGCATACATACATATTTATAAAAAATGCGAGAGTAAATTTAAAGTACGAAAACTTAGACATTTCTATTGCAAGCTTAAAATTAGGCTGTGTTAAAAATATGTTTTTTTTTTTTTATATAAACGATGAGGATCGTAAGTCAAGTTTTTGAAATTATAAGCGTAATGTAGACACAGGAGGGGGCCAAGTTAGTATTAAACGTGTGGGAAGCTGAAATTCGCTCAAAAAATTTCTATATCTAAATTAATGAAGTGAATCAATGCAATAAGAAACTAATAATTTGTATACTAATTTTTCGCTATTCATTTAATCACGCAAATAAGTGTATATATGTATGCATGTACAATATATTGGTTCATTAAACGATTCCTGAAGAAAAAGTGTATGTTGAAAGGACAGAGTAATGGAGGGGCGAAGGAAATGAAAACCGTCTGTCATGCATCTCTAAACGACGCAAAAAGATAGCATGAAGAAAATTTGATAAAAGACATGGCCCTACAATATATACATACATATAACTCGAAATAGTAAGTTAGAAGAAAATTTAATACGCCTATTAAAAGTAATTAATTTGCGAGGGATTAACAACCGAGAGCGTTTGATATAGAAAATATCCCTTTAACTTTATAAAAAAAAAAATCAATAACATCAAACGAAATGAATTATGAATTAATTATATAATTTCTGAATCTGATTTTTCGTGAAAATGCTTCGAGCGTTTTGAATTATACCTTCGTAGAAATTCGTATTCAGTGATTGCTGTGTAATGAATACAGTGCTGACTATTTCTGCTGAACAAAGTCTTCGTCCAGTACGTCTGAGTTTATCTTTTTTGCTCTAAGACTAATTGTTAAGTATAAATAAAAGCTATAGCTTTGATGTTTGAGGAAAGTTTCATATTTCCGATAAAAAGCTAAACATTTCGTAAGTAACCTTCGACCCCTGCCAATTCCTCCCCTACCATCAGTTTTGAAAGTATTTAACTTCTTTCCAAAGATAATACTACATAAATAAATTACACGGTGTAAACAAAATTAAGAAAACTGTACGAATTTTTTAGTAACCAAATACAGGTCGTACGTATCCTACATGGTCGAGTAATTTACAAAACTGAGTAGCGGCCACGAGAAGTGTACCATGAAAATTCCGATAAGTCAGACTCTTGTGAAATAAGTATACATATTATTGTAAAGATCTTATAATTCTTAAGCTGGGTTACAAATATTTCAAAAAAAAAATGCAACTACAATAGATAATGATACGAAATTAGTAGATACATATTTACACTTCGTCACATCGTTTTATTATTATAAATAACTTTTCTTCGAAATAATTTATTTTTTCATTTGTTATTCACGCTGCTATAAATAGGCAATTTTGCCTTATCATTAGTTTCGAAAGTGTTCTTATTTTGTCATGCAATGTTGCGCTGTCTTTGTTCTGAAAATTTCACTCACCGCGTGACAAGATAATTCATTTCTCCAATTATTAAAGCTAATCGATTGGGACATATTTCTGCATAATTGCCTTTTCCTAGTAGCGTGAATAACAGAAAAAGAAATTATTGAAAAGAAGCAATTATTTATAATAATCAAAAATTGCTGTTTTATTATGATGAAGTGGAAGAAATAAAATTCTCAATTTTATCATAGGTACTTCAAAATATAACTGTGAATAACTTGGAAAAATAGTTATAAGAATTTTTTCAAAATATTTGTATTCCAACATAGGGATTATAAGAACTTTACAATGTTTTCAGTGACTAAATCAGTGACTTGGCGAAATTTTCGTGGTACAGTTCACGTGGCCGCATTAAATTGTTTACATTTTTCTGACAACATGAATTTCTCAACTTATTCAATATCTCCAAAATTTTTGAACCACATTTATTTATTCAATTATTTTAACTAAGTAGTATACAGAGACATTAGAGAATATTTAAATATGAACATTGCGAGTAGTGCCACATAGCCGAAAGATAAATTAATTTAGGAAGATGTCCCTTAACCATCTATCTGTCAGATAAAAAATAATCGATTTCGATCATGTAATTAGAAATATGATTTCTAGCTGAATGTACATAATTTGGCTAAGATTAATAAAAATTTAGCTTGTCTCTATTTTGTAATTATCATAAGTTACTAAATCTTTCATTGATTTTAAAATGTGATACATAGTTTTATTAAGAATAAAATAGTCTTGAAATAATGACTTAAACGAATAGGTATTTCTGATAAATAGCCTAGGGCTTTTTGCTATTTTGTGAATATTTATGCGCTTAAAATAAAATATGATTCCGATTATATCTCTGAAAAATTGTGGAAACTCGCTTGGAAATTAAAAAAAAAAAAAAAATCAGAAAATAATTATGAAAAAATATTTATTAATCTCGCTGAATCCATATTAGAACTCAAAATTACTTAAAATATATCTGAGATAAAAGTGGTTGAATCCACCAAGTGATAAACAAAGTCGTTTTAATGAATAAGTTGAGGGTGCTAGAAAAATTGTAAACATATTTTTGTGACTCATTTGACCAAAGCTACCAACTGGCCTAGTTCGCGTGAAAAGTTAATTTTTATGGTTACACAATGTTGCATACTTTGTATGTGCATATTCGTATATACATACTGGCCCTTATTATGAGCTGCATTCGATTTTCGATCTTCGCTGGCTATCGAAGATCGAAGATCGAAAGTGGAATTCGTATTATGAGCTATGCAAGCGTGTCGAAATTTTCGTTGAGTATCGAATTTTCTGTCGAACAGAATTTTGCTTTCGATGGTGTAGCGAAGTGTTAGAAAATTGTGAAAAATGTATGATTTTGTATATGTTTTCTTACATTTTGGCGGCTAGACATTAATTTTAAACAATTTTTATTAATTTCATGCAGTTCTAACATCTTGAATACTAAACACAAGCTCGAAAGGCTGGTTTTACTTGTGAAAGAAAATCCCAATACTCTGTTGGCACGATCTCTGAGAACAAAATCGTAGCGCTGTTGATAGTTTTAAAATATTTTAAATAGATTTGGCTCACAAACGCCTCTTTAGATGGTCGGAACTTTTTAATGAATCTGTAGACAAATTTCTTAAATATATTTTATATCAAAATATATTCGAAAGACTAATAAACTTAAACTCTCTTAAACATTTGCTACTCCTGGCCAGTTTACTAAGCTCTCATCCTCTGACGAATCGTTGAACCAGAACTCGTTGTACTCATTTTACCACGTTTTTATAAACTTGCTTTCTTTTTTACTTCATTTTAATTAGAACAAATTTACATAAATATGTATAAGCACACTATTTAGTTTGCTCGATTTGTAAACAAAGCTTCTCAGCGGTGAAAAATATACTATTGTGAACAACCTAAACGAGCGAAATTCACAATAGCGCTATTCTTCATCGAATGAGTGCCATAATACCAAATGCAAATTCGTTCGCTCAGCACTTTCGACCACAGTCGAAAATCGAATGCAAATCATAATAGGGGCCACTATATATACACAACCATTAACACTTTCGTTTTTTAATTATAGTTTTGATTTTTAAGTTTTTGGATTTGGCAAGGGAACTTTTGTTTTCGCAAATCAACCAGTAATTCTTTGTGATAAATATTTTTAAAATAACCTTTATATTGTTACTCTGCAAAAAAATGTACGAATATCTAAAAAATATGGGTTCCGGTGTGGCGGCGGCGCACTGCATTATTTTTTGGAAAAAAGGACAAAATCAAATAGTTCGAGAACAAGAAGTGATAGCGAAATAAATGTAACGTTATTTTCATACAAGATTTTGAGATGTATAATGCAGGAAAAATGGTCTCGTAGGATAGAAGAACTACCTTTACCTTTAAGATTACATTCAAAAATAGGTTTTTATATATTTTTCTTTTTTTTTGACCACAGACCAGAGTGCAATGAACTTTTTGCAGTTTTTAATCACATATTTTTGCTGTTCTTACGTCAAGGAAGCTGTTCTTGGTTTAAAAAAAAGGGTAAAAAAGACAAAAAAAAATGCTTGTGAAGGTCGGTCATTTTAGGCTCCGATTGAATGAAAAATTACCTTTACCTCAAACCCACCTTCTAAAGTAATTTTTTTTGCCTTTTTACCTAAAAATAGGTGCAATGAACTTTATAAAAAAAATTAAATGCTTATTTTATTCTGATTTTAGGAAAAAAAAATTCAAAACTAATTTTTGAAGGTCAATTTAAAGGTCAGGATAATTTTTTTATACAACGAGACTATTTTTCCTGAATTCTTAATCTCAAAAAGTTTAAAATACCGATACTTGATATCTTCTTTCGTTCTCGTGATATTCGGTTTTGTCACTTTTTCCAAAATAGAACACATGCGGCGGGTCGAATTGTATGTAGATACGAGCTACTTACCCTTTTAAAAGAAAAACCTTTCATCAGACAACAAAGATTTAGCTTGTAAACATACTGTTCTCGTGGGGCAAAGGCTCGCTAGGATCTCTTACCTTTTGAATGCAAATAATAGAAAACTCAGTCGTGCTAAACTATATGTTCATTCAGCGGCTTTGTCAGCACCGATACCCTCTTTCAAAAAGGTGCAATGATTACCCTGTACCAGGAAAAAGTATAAATGTGCATAATTAAAAACTCATTGCAGTTAAATTTAAACGAGGAATAAGAAGCAAATTAAAAAAAAAAAGCTGAATAACTTTACCGTAAGTTTTCTATAAAATAAACAATTTTTATATAAATATTTTAACAATTGTTATAAAATGAACTTTTGCAGCTTAATATATACATAGATAATACGCTTATGAGAACGCTAATTTGTATGTTGCTTTAAGTTGAGTAAAAAAGATCAATAGACAAATTGAAATTTATTAGGCAAACTAAATTGATTTCTTACTTATTGTCGAGTTATATTATAAAGTAAATCGTTTTAAGCCGGCGACTATAGCTCACACATGCATACATATAATGAGTTTGCGAATTTGCTTATTTAGCAATGAGTATTGAGGAAATGTAGGATGATTTATGGGAAATAGAGTAGTCGGTGGTTATTGGAAGGGAAAAAGTTAGGCTTACTTTTGGATGATAAGAGGCGAATAAATGTATAAAAGTTACAGAACTACATATACATATATTTACTAGCTTTACAAACTTAAAATTTATGCAAATATTATTGTTGTTTGTTTCTTTATGTTTTTGTTATTTTTTCTACTCCGTTCATTATGATGTTGATATCCTTGTTGATGTCGGCGTTTTCCTATATCTTTTGCAGCAGTTGTTGTTGTTGTGTTGATCTTTATGATAGTGTTGGTAGTTTTTTTTTTCCTTTTATTATGACATGGTGCATATGCCTATGTACATATGTATGCATTTTTATGGGAGTGTGCGCATGTCTATTATTTAGTATGAACTACATATGCATTATTTCTCTAACGTATGTTTGTCGATTTGTTTGGGTGTTGTGAGTTTTACTGTTTTTTATGTTTCATTGTTTATTTTATCATGTTTTTTGTGGTCCTTACGCGGCGGCTAGCAGTACCTACGCTGTCTATAACTACCCTACAATTGATGTTGTTGGTGTATGTAGATGTTGCCGTCGCATGGTCAGCACTCTATGCTGTTGTTGTTGTTGTTGATCTATTGTTTGGCTACATAATTTTTTTATTGCTACCGTCGGTTGATCAGGCCATTGGGCGGCGCTTGTTGTCCCGCCGTATGCATCAGTTCCAATTCGACCAGCAGCGGGAAATGATCCGATGGTATATGCGGATGCGGACAGCCAACGACTTTATTATCGCGCAACCAATCATTCGAGATGGGACCTAATAAACCGAGCGGCACCATGCCAGTTTTCGTATAAAATATATAATCGATGATGCCTTTAAAGTCGAACGTGTAGTTTGTGTGTGGCATTATGTCCTCGCTGTAGGCGGAGGCCAACTTAAAGGAATGCGTAAACTCGCTGGTGTCATTCGATAGTAGGCGTTGCAGGCATAATTTATAACCCATGTCCTTGAAGTCCTGGTGATCCATTGCTACACGTCCCTTGCCAAGGAATTCGATTACACCAGAATCGGGCAACGAATTGAAATCTCCGCACAACAGCAGTTGTACGCTATTCGCGTCATTTTTGTGACCGGGTCTAAAGCTGTGACTTGCCTCGTCGATGATTGTCTTAAGCTCATTGCTCAACATCATCGTCTGGATTAGTTTCACATCGCAGAATTCGGGATCCCAGTGAATGTGCGCCGTGCAAACGAGCAGCGGTTGGGAGATTTGTGTCACTTCGGTCATCGGATCCCAGGCATTCTCCTTCACTTTCAGAAGCGCTGCCAAACCGATATTGTCCTTCGGCATTACACGATTCAACATGTTATCCGAACCTTCAGCATTGGCCATAGCCAATTGATTGAATTCGATTAAATGTTCTTTAATCAATGTGAATCTGCGTGGAGAGTAAATATATTTGAGAAATTAGAGAATTAGATGGTGGTTTGTGCATTTGTAAAATCGCATGATAATGCTAAAAATTAGGTTATACAGATATAACGCCATTTGAACATTAAGGGCCTAATGTAAGCAGTAAAGTTACCTTTACTAACAGGGCAGATAAATTGTTCCTCACTTTAAAGTGTTTTCGTTTTCTTATCTTACATGTAAAAATAAATTTGTTATTCCGTAGAGTGAAACTTCACTACATTTCCGAGAGTGAAACTTAACTACATTCGTCATAAAATTCCAAAGGTTGGCAATGCAACATAAGCAAATATAGAGCAAGAGCAACTGTTAGCAAAAACCAAAACCTTGGTAGAAATATCTAATATATCTGATTCATAAACCAAAACCAAACCAAAATTTAAAGTTGGGTACAAATTTTGAAGGTTGCAACGGGTAAGCAACAATTTATCGATTCGAGAAATTAATGCGCTGATGAGAAAACGAAAACTCGTATATCGAGACGATAAAGTGGCCGGTAATCTAAAGCTTAGATGAGAAAACGGCCCTAAATATGTAATTTTTAACTAGACTGCTGGTAAATTTTTTTGATAAATACATGAGTCCTTCAAACAGTTCATAGGGGGTGTTACTTATGAGCAGGGGTCGGATTTTTATACAATGCCATATTTTTTTTTTATAAATCTTCGGACGCGTTTCTTAGTGAAGTATATAGAAGTCCCATTCGTAAATACCATTCCAAAAAATGAAATGTTATAAGGTAATTTTTTAAAGGGCATTTTTACGGATAAGCGGGTTAAGGGATAGCTGTTTTAAGTTATTTTTTGTTTTTAAGATTTTATCGTTTATTAATTTTTTTGTGTAAATTTTCTATCCAATTGTTTCATTTATGGCACTTCACAGGTTTTATTTATTTTTGACTTCTCACCGGAATTGGCGGGAAAAGCACGCATTGCACCATAACGTAAATTTTAACAATTACCGAAGAAACAACAAGGGTATTCAGACTATACTCGTTAAGTTTTTAATTCGATAATCGGTAAGTCCAACCATTGTTTTGTTTTTGTAAATTACCGAATATATCATTACTAACTTAACGAGAAGGCACGTCTGATAATGTGGTAAAACATGCGTTAAAATGTCAGCTGATTTTTTTCTGTCACTTATTTGCTGGAATTTTCTCTCGCGAAAAAGTGCAAATATTTATGTCGTGGAATTAATAGATTTTACCACTGTTACTTAAATAAAAGTAATTTTAACCAGAGAAAGAATAATAAGGGGCGTTCGAAGTTGAAAGTGTTACCGAGTCAGATAACGAACTAATACATTAACGAGTCTAGTCTGAATATCCTTAATCGTTTCTGTTGAAACTATTCTTTTTTTCATCGTTAGATTTCTAGCGTAAAAAAAATCTATCGTTAACGTTGAAGGTGTAGCATACATTTAGACTCCAGGTGTTAGAAGTCGCCTAAACAGTGAGCTGGCAACGTTTACAACATAAGTTTTTGGTTGATTTATTTCGTTTCAAAGTTAACGATTGATTTGTGCTTCGTTAACTTAGCGCTGAAACCTAACGAAATTATTTTGATGAGTCATTCCTGCTCTAGAAAAGTTTTTTCTAACAGAGCCGGCATAAAACAGCGGGACCCTCAATTTTGTAATAACACACAGCACAAATGAAGGAGAAAGTGTAAGCGCAAAATAAATACTATTCCTGCTCACTAATAGGACGAAATCGATTATTATAGTTGGTTGAGAATCTCTGATTGAATTTTTTATTAAATGTAATTTTTTATTAAATTGGTATGTTACTACTTATGCACATTTATTTTCCATTCCGCTTCATCTGAATGGGTAATTTTTTTCTTTAAGGACGAAGTATGTACATTAGGGTGATCCACTACAAAAAATATGATACAATATTTCAACTGTATAAAAGAGATTCTGAAGTGATTTCATTAAACATGTTATTGATTACGGGCTAAATCCACTGCTTAACTACTTCATATGTTTCTTTACAACGGCTTTCAATAATTTACTAATTTCATTTGATGATTGATATTCAATATTATTTACTTGAAAATTTATATACTCACTTAGCAGCACGAAAGAAAATAGCGCAACCGTCCACAAATTTACGTTCCATCTCTGACATAGTCTTGGCACGTGATTTCGGCGAGAAAATTCCTTCGTAACCGTCGGCCTTAAGCTCAGGCAAAAAGAAAGCATAAAACTGATCTGTCTCGATTTCTTGCAGACTAATTATATCCGCCGAATAGTGACGGATTTCGTCAAGTATAGCCTTTTTTCGGTACTCCCAACTCAAGGCCCACGACGGGCAGTAACCGTACATTTGTCGGGTGGCGTACTTGTCGCACAAAACATTGTAACACATAACTGTAAAGATGCCTAAAAAACAATTTTTTAGTAGCAAAATTCTGTATGTCGTACATAAATATTAAGGCAATTAAGTGGTAAGTGTATACGTTCGAAACTTACAAGCTGGCCTTGATTTGTTCGGTTTTGCTAATGGTATCCATGGGCGTTGAGGTGGAGGTGTTATGGAAACTAAAAGGAGAAGAGAAAAATGAATTAGTAAATACTTGTTGTTTTGTGTAAGATATTCATAGAATTAGTCATGTACCACAGGCTGATGTAGATATACGTATGTATATTTTGGGAAGATTATATAGGGCGGTCCATCTAGATCCTGTTTTTTTTTTTTTGTTAGTTTAGATAAAACACGTTAAGCAGAACTGGATGTCTGAATCTTTATTATCATTCGAAAGAAAAATCTTAAGACATTTATTTTTTTATTTTTTAATAATTCCATCTTGTGATTCACACCTCTGGATTTCTTTCTTTGGGGTTATGTGAAGCCAGAAGTATTCATCGATAAGACAGCTATGATTCAAAACTTGGAAGCCAACATTACTTGCGCAATTTGCGCAATGCTGGAAACATCTGAATGAAATCATTTCAAAAAAAAAGTAATGTCAGAAAATTTTCTTTCGGATGATAATAAAGATTCCGACATCCAGTTCTGTTTTAAGTGTTTTATTTCAGATTAAAAATCCCCGATCTAGATGGATCACCCTATACACACAGTGGTGGAAGAAATAATAGAAACTTTTTACTTTGACCAGTTTTGGCTATATTACTTTGTTTATTCGATGTTTAATGTTTTTGTATAAAAGTCTAGCGCACATTTCAAAGTTTGTACAAAAATTATAAAAAATCAACAAATTTTAACAAAATACTCCAAAAATTTCAAACTTTTTAATCAGATTTTTTTGAAAAATTTTGGGTATGCATTAAATTTTGGGTATGCATTAAATTTTGGGTGCCCATTAAATTTTAGGAGGTAAAAGTGCAAACCGCAAGACGCTAGAAAATCGCATTGATTTTTAATATTTTTTTTTGCTGACGATGCTATGCATTTCCTTTCATATAAAAAGAAATTTTGAGCATGGTCGAGCATACTTTATATGGAAGAAAATGCACAACACCGCCAGCCAAATAAATTATTAAAAATCAACGCGATTTTCTAGCGTCTTGCGGTTTGCAGTTTTACCTACTAAAATTTAATGGGCTATAAAACTGCATCTTCAAAAAAATCTGATTGAAAACTTTGAAATTTTTGGGGGATTTTGGTAAAATTTGTTGAATTTTTATAATTTTTGTACAAACTTTCAAATGTGGATTTATATGGTGTGTGTTATTTATTGCGCTAGACTTTTATACAAAACATATACATACATACATACTACATAAATTACACAGCCTTACAAAATTTAAAAAAAAATTTTAGGCTCAAATATCTCGACAGCCTAAGCCAATCGGGCAAAACTGATTTTGGATTCAGATTCAGCGCAACAAAAACCTTTAGAAAAGTATAAGCTAGTCCCTGGGTCTGAAAAATGTCGGCCTATGTTATTAAAAGAAAAACAGATCCACAGTAACTGCAATCAACATACATATGTACCCTGCAGAAAATCTGTATTTACTCTGCAGAAAATCTGACTAGCTCAGAGCTAGCGTAGAACTAGACCTTTTGCCGACAGTACCAGTTCTATTTCAATTTTACACGGCGATGTCATTCGCGGTGCCAATTGTAGCCCAGTGCACTACTTTTCAATTAGTTTTTAACCGGTTCCGTTTTAGTCAGTTTTTTTTGTTTTATAAGAAAATGTTTTTATGATTCGATTTTTGGATATTTTTTTAGTTTTTTCCCTTCTTTTACAGATTCCATTTTTGTTAAATATTTTATTAAAAAATAATTATTGTAAGGTTTGAACTCGTGACCAAAGATGCTTGAGTCGGAAGTCTTGTCGCTGAGATACTTTCGTATTGTACGAGTAGTGAGCATTTGCACATTTACAATGCTAGTTTCAACTGTCCCGCTCTGCATACGTTTTACGCTAGTTCAGAGATAGTTCTGATGTACAGTGACGAGCAAAACTGTAACATGGTTTAACACTTTTTGTTTCAGCCCCCGCTATATTTCCAAGTTCTAACGACTTTCATACTTTTGCTGTATATTCTTGTTGGTACATCCCTACTCCCTCTCTCATAATGATTTGAAGTCAACACAACAACAATAAAAAAACCAGCAGACAAAAATGTAAATTAAGGCAGATGTTACAGTTTTGCACTCATATATTTTTAAGAACTTTTTAACAATTTTCACAAAAGAAAAGAACTACTAACACAATGTTCAGTACTCTTTTTTCCTGTTTCAGTTCCTGGATGTGATTTGGCATACCTTATTTGTATCTTTGTAAAAATTCTGGAGGTATATCCTTAGTTTGCTTTCACAGCTCATGCACTCGATTTTACGGACTTTGATACTTATTAAGCTGTGCTTTTAGTTGATTTCGCAAATTCTCGACGAAATTCATATCCGCGGATTGTGGAGGTCATTTCAAAATAGCAAATTTTTGCTTTTGTATCCAGTCTTTGCGAACATATGCAGTGTGTTTTGAGTGATTTTTCAGCTGAAACTCTCATTTTTTCGACTACATCTTGCAAATTTTGTTGAATTATGAACAGATACTGTTCCTTACGCATAATGCGTACTAACGGACCAACAATATTTTTGAAATATAGCCCCAAACAATTAAGATCCTACCACTGTGATTCACAGTTTGCCGTACATGATGCGCTTAGGCTTAATTTGGGTCTTTGATCCAATACCATGCCAGGCCATCTGATTGAAAGCGATTAATTTAGTCTTGTCAGACCAAATAACCTTCAATTGAAACTTAAAAATATGTTTTTTATTGCATTCTGAACGGCCTAACATATCCCAATAGGCAACGGTTCGGTTTTCGTGCGATGCAGCGAAATGCTGCCGCACTCGCACATGTATCTTGATCAAATTTGCTTTTTTCTTCTTTATGATGCCTTTGCGCTCAATTTGGCAATTCTTTGCCTCGCTGTCTATTGATTTGCATTAAAGTTTAATACCTTAAGCGCTTCTGTAATAGTGGCTGCATCGCTACTTGCTGCTAAGTTCACAAGATATCGTACCGTAATATTTTTTAACAGACTTCCTTCGTCCTTGGGAACACTTTAGGCTATATTTTTTCTAAGTCTTAACATTTTCAAGTAGCAAATTTCAAAATTTTTGGCCACTTTTCGTGCGGTTCCGCCTTTCCGCAGTAAATCTATTATTTACATTTATGGTTCCTGATTAACCATATTATTTATTGGTGATCACTTCTTGAATAAATTACAATACAGAAAAAAGTCATCTGACTTCCAAATAAGCAAAAGATAACTGTAAAATGCAAAACTGAGAGTGAGTGCAAAACTGTAACATCTGCCTTAATTTACAGTTTTGTCTGCTGGGGTTTTTATTGTTGTTGTATTGACTTCAAAACATTATGAGAGAGGGAGTAGGGATGTACCAACAAGAATATACAACAAAAGGATGAAAGTCGTTAGAACTTGCAAATATAGCGGTGGCTGAAACAAAAAGTGTTAAACCATGTTACAGTTTTGCTCGTCACTGTATGTACATATGTAGTTCGGAACTAGCGCTTTATCAGACTATCGCCAAATTTTACTGCAGGGTACATACATAAGCTGCGTAACATATAACGTTTGAGGTAACGGCTAAATTAAAACAAAAAAAAAAACGCAATACATTAAATACTTGCATACCTACATACATATGTATGCACATTAGAGTGGCCCGCAAATACATGCGAGTGGGGGAAGTTAAAAATGTTAAACCCTACGATTTTTCTAAATGGCAAAAAGAATACCCGTATTTTCTGTGTAAATAAAATATATTTAAAACATATATATTTTATATGGGGGAAACACGTTTTCATAGAAATGGTATAGAATTCTTGAAAATCAATATTTTTCGATTGGAAAACTAAAATTCTAGTGGGTGAGAGCTTAATTTTTTAAACTTTTTTTATTTATAACCTGAAGAAAAAGTTCAGCCATATTATAGAACAAGAAAAATGGAACTAACGATGGCACAACGCCGAAAACGGTTTGTTTCTAAACTAAATTTGACAAGAAGGGATGACGGAAAATCATTCCAAAATACATCGTGTTTTCAAATATCATCTCCTCAGGAAATCCGATGTTTACTACTTTTTACACCCTCAAATGAAAATCGTGTGAAGTGTAGAGAAAATGCGCTAATATAAAATGGTGGGTGAACCTTTTTTAATGTAAATTATTTGCATAAATGTATGTATTTTTTATAACCAAGTATTAAAACCAAAGTTAGTATGTATGAATAATTTTTTGACGATCACCTGCACAGCAAGGTGTGTAGTTAAATACGAAAATAATTAATAATTGCACATTTCACTTTCTTTAATATAATTAGGTAGCCCGGAATTGGAAAGGTGGTGGGTAAATAGATTCGCCTTACTTCCACCAATCACGCAACGTATTGCCCATGGAATTTATAATGACTGTGTACATATGTATGTACCTATGTGCATAAATACAAATGTATGCATGTATGTACACTAGTAGCGTGGTCCAAAAATGCATGTGAAAAAGTAAGGTCGGGTTTTTTATGCTCTCACCCCTAGGATTGCTCTATACCGAAAAAATATACCCTTATTTCTTTATTTTGAAATCCAGTTTTCCATGTATTTTATATGGCGAAAAAACAACTTTTCGTAGAAATGGTTTAAATGAGCTAAAAATCCATATTTTTCTACCAGAAAACTCTGTTTATCTGCAGGAGACTCCCAATAATAATACCCAATTGTTTATTTAATAATTTTTTCATTGCAACTATAATTTATAGGTCCGCAAAAAACCCATTTCTACGAAAAGCTGTATTTTTCCCATATAAAAATACATGGAAAACTTTGAGCGCGTTGAGCGACCTCTAAATATTTTTTGATTTCAAAATAAAAAAAATAGGGGTATACTTTTTTCGATGTATAACAATCCTAGGGGTGAGAGCATTACAATTCCGACTTTACTTTTTTTTGGACTACCCTAATGTACACAGGTATGCATTTATTTGATTATTTTTGTTTGTTATTCTCTGCGCGAATTGCACGAAATTGTTGAGGGAATTA